CCCCCAAATTAAATCCTAGATCCGCTAGTGCCCAGAAACAAAATAGTGGGATCCAAATGCAACATGATGAACATTGAAGTCCTCTCCTACCAGAAAAGGAAATGAAACTTGACATAATAATGACCAGACAGCAGCTTGAAGATTAATTGTAGGTTTAGCATATAATGATACAAATGATGTAATAGTGTTGTTATTGGAGAAAGCTACAACGCAAATTTGTATTTCATGTTTAAAGGATTGGGAGATATTTAAAATTTGAAAATTAATATACTTTTTATTAAAATACCACAGCCACCATAACCGTCCGCACGATAAAAGCATATTCTGAGAATGACGAGTGCGTTGAGGGACCAAGCCTAGTACTACTGTCCTACGTCGATATTGTTTTTCAGCAAAAACATTTCTAGATACTGTTTGTTAACATGAATAGATCTTATGTTCCGCTGAAGAATGTGTAATTTATTTTTATTATTGGTATTAAAAGAAAAAACGTTGCTAATTATTTCACAATGGTTTATTATTTCCAAACAATTATACATCTAAAGTATCATTACTTTCCTAGTGACTAAGAAAAACAAATAAAAGGTGATTAAAATTATTGGCCTGAGCATTTTTTTTTAATCATCAGTAATATACTAAAAAAAATAACATTACATCAGTAACACATTAAAAAACAAAACAAAGGATATAACGTTTGCAGTAGAATATACAACAAATATCCGATTGTTTGATTTTAATGATTTTTTTTAAAGGAAATTCCGTAAACTTTTAAATAACCATGTACATACAATATCAACAAAAAAGTGTATACTTTTTGAGTTATTCGAAATATAATTTTACCACCCCTCGTAACTTTTTTTCCAGCTTCTTTTCGTTGAAGTATGTATAAATGAATTGAAGATTGAAGTATAAATAAATTTCAGTGGCATCGAGAAGAAGACTTTAGCGAAGTTTCATTGAAATCGGTATATTCGTTTAGGCGCTACAGCCTAAAGCAACGCAGGTTTTTCGGTCGCCGTCTTGAAAGGAAAAGGCTGATAGAAATGTCGATGAAGAAAGATCATCCTCGGATGACCTCCAATTTTAAATCCAAATTTGATAACAATCGGCCCAGTAGTTTCGGAGAATATGCGCGGACGGCGAATGGACAAACAAGTTTTTATGAATTTTTGGAATTCTATGTATCCTGAAACATAAAATCTCAAATTTCGAGAGGAGGTTAAGTTTTTGAATTTGTTCGATCACAATGGATCATTGTTAGAAATAATAAACAAAAAAAAAAAAAAGGACACATGTCATTTGTTCAGAAACGGTTTTGTGTTTTTTTTTTTTTTTTTTTTTTTTTTTTGTCTCCCGGTAAGAGATTATATCGGATTTATTCCAATAGGAAATTTTTGATTAGGAATTAGTAAACTCAGTTACTACTCTTTTATATTTATTCGAGTTAGAAACGGTATGGCTTGTTGCAACCATCGGCGAAAAGTTTCTTGAAACCCATTTGTATAGTTTTTGAAAAATCCAACAATTTCCCCGCTCTCTTGGTTCATACCTAATTGTAATAATTTAAAAAAAAGACAGAAGAAATCGATAAAAGACATAAATAACTCTTTAAATAGAAATTTGCACTAAAATTTTAAATTAAAAAAAGAACAAAAAAAAAATTCTATAAACATGAACCAACTATAGATAGTACTAAAGAACACTTTGCAAAAATACTCGCTGAGCAAGAATGCTGATTGCATCACGGCCAAACAACAACGTTGGCATGTACTTCGATATTATGAAATATCGATATCGTCCCTATGATAATACTTTAATTTAATATTTCCCCATAATATTAAGTATTTTTATTAATAAATTAAAATTAAAACTATCCTTTTCGAAAAAGCCGCAGAGATTGTATATGATCGAGATAAATATGATCGTTAGAAAAAAAAATCTGGTGCGCGCACCACACAAATTTCACTTACCGATCTACTTTGAATAGAAATTATTTTCTGGCAATGCTGGAATATTATACATTTTTTGAAGTGCATTTTAAACGGAGCTAAAGCTTAAATCTTACAGATGACAAGTCATTAAGACCATTATAATTACAAAATGTCTATTAATTATATCGACGACCGGCAATAAAAATCTAGTCACTCCATCTGCTTTTATAAACCGCACAACTTTCTTTGATTTTATAAACCACAGAATGGCTAACTCCAATTTTCAACATTTTTGAGTGATGTCATTTTAGTGATATTTTTAGTTGAAAAAATTATCTATGCAGACAATGAGTAAGTTGATTATAGAAGTGGTGATTGCAGTGTTGAAATATAGATACTTTATTAAATATCTGTGGAAAAAAGATTTTTTTAGTCTCAAGAATTATGAAAGTAAATTTTAAATTTATCCAAATTTTTAAACAAACTAGAGACCACATCTTTCCTTCTAGTTGTCCGATCTGAAGGATTTTTTTTTTTTTTTTTTTTTAGGAAATTCCACAAACTTTTGAAAAACTATATGTGTATACTTATATTGGGCATTTAAGCCCTGTAAAGTGATATCAACGGGGATAAGACTTAAATGATATTAAAGACCTCTTAATTATACAATGATACACCGGGTTTGATCTAAATTGTTAGAGCCATTTTTGAGAAAATTGTAAAAATGTGTTTCAGCGTTCATATAAAGTGACACTTCCGGTTAGCCGATTTTAACGAAAAAGTTGCTGTCACATCCGGCCCATATACAAACCTTAAATACTTTATATCAGTATCGTACTACTTTTCGTTTATGAGCTAGACTGTTAACACACACAAACATACACACGGACACTCACACACAGACCATTTTGCAACACTTGGTTATTTGAACTCAGGGGACCTCAAAACATGTATTTCTGTTGAAAACTGAGATTCGAAAATTTTCACGATCGCAATACGTTATATTACATATATACGTAAGTGAAAGTAAAAAAATATATAAACATCTTGGCCGATCTCATATAGAATATAGTGTGTAACTAACTGAGGACGACAAAGATGATAGGAATTAACAGATTGAATTTACTGAGGATAGAAGAATTGATAATTCTTTCAATTAATTTAAAGATGAAAATTAAAACTTTTTTTGATTTCCCTATGTACTAGAGAATCAATATTTAAATTACATGTTTTTTAATTTTTTTTATAATATAGAAAAATATCGACTCTTGATAGTAACGATATTTCAAATCCGATCTGTTCATGGTATTCATAGTTATAGTACGATATTTCTATCGATGACAATTTCGGTACTGGATTTTCAATATCCCAACCCTAGCGCTCTGTGTTATCTATCCCCATGCCTGATTTATCATTTCCATAATTTCCATCAGAAATATCTTATGATTGTCAACAGTTTGTCAACTGGTGAAGATTTCTAAAATTTTGTCTCTCTTGAAATTCTTAATAAGCATTTTTACCTATTTTTATAAATTACTATTTTTTAAAAAAAATAATTATGTTTTTACCAATAGTTTTCATTATATTATAATTTTATATTTTGTTTACTTCAATGAAAGTTTTTATTTGTGAATTTCTTGTTTTTTGTACACTGGATTGGTATAATAAAATATACAACGAGTGATTTTTTTTGTCGCATGACGAAAAATCTGGTGCGCGCAACACACAACTTTCACTTACCGCTCAACTTTGAATAGAAATTATTTTCTGGCCATGTTGTTCTATTATAAAATTTTTGAATTGAATTGTTAACTGAGCTACCGCTAAAAGATTGCAGCTAACAAATCATAAATACTATTAAAATAAAAAAAGTCTTTCTATTGTCCAATAAAGGTATTTTCCATTGCAAAGTTTACTAAAACGGAATAGAGAGATTTGTTACAAAACTAGAGACCATATATTTCCTCCTAATTGTCCGATTTTAACGATTTTTTTTTTTTTAGGGAATTCCGTAAACTTTTAAAAAAACATTTACAATATCGACAAAATACAGTTTACTTTTGGAGTTATTCGAATTTTAATTTTACCATCCTTTTCGTTGAAAAATGTTATATAGATAAATTTAAAGGGTGTCGAGAAAATGACTTTAGCGAACTTTCATTGAAATCGGTACATTCGTTTACGCGCTACTATAGCTACGTAGGTTTTTCTGCATTTTTTCTCCTTTATTAACTTATCAAATTCTTTCAAAAGTTATATTTAGCATTTTTTTCGTAACTCTGAATAATGTGAAATGATTAACTTTTTAAAATAAACCATATTAAAGGTAATTTGGAAGAAGACGTTTATAAACATTGAACATTTAAGCCCTGAAATGTGACATCAACGGGGCATTTAAGACCTAAATGATAATGATTTAATCAAAATCGTTAGAGCCGTTTCTGACAAAATTGTAAAAATGTGTCTCAGCGTTGATAAAAAGTGGCACTTCCGGTTAGCCGATTTTAAGGAAAAGGTTGCAGCGACATCTAAGGCATATACCTATCTTAAATACGTAATATCAGTTTCGTACGACTTTTCATTTTTGAGCTAGACTACTAACATACAGACACACAGACCATTTTTCGGAACTTGGTTATTTGGACTCAGGGTACCCCGAAAGGTGTATTTCCTTTGAAAACTCAGATTCAAAAATTTTCTCGATCGCAATACTTATTCTTACGTATATATTACATATATACGTAAGTGAAAGTAAAATGGGACAGATAAGTGCATCTCTGTTGTAGGGTACACGTTTTATAAGTAAATTATTTTTTTATACAATTGTTTCACTAATTTTTTTTTTCAAATTTGAATATTAGTAGTTCTGACCCATAAAGGGCTAAACCTGTCTAATAGATTTTTTTTTTCTGACACAGTAAAAGAATTATATAAATTGGATAATTATTTAATGAAATTATCACATTCAAACAGAAGAACTACTTAGTTCAATCACATATTTATTGTTGTTATTAATATTATCATAAATTTAAATTATTTTCTGAAAACGAATTTAAAAATGTACTTTACCAGAAAGAAGAATTGAAACCTTAAACGTTTGATGCCTACCAGAGAACTGCCGATTAAAGCGGTTGGGAGTGGGGACAAGGTTTATCCACGGGAGAAGGAGGAAAAAGTATATTTTTTCTTATGATATAAAATCAATATTAATCCATATTAATCTAAATCATTTAAAGTTAAAGTTAAGGTGTTCATTCTATATCAAATCATCCTATAAAAAATAAATTTTGAACATGTAGATTTTGGTTTATTATTTTCAATAATGAACCATTGTGATGGACCAAAAAACTCAAAAACTTAACCATCTCTCAAAATTTTCAAGTTTTTAAATTTGATAGCATATATGATTTTATTCGAGATATTAACTTCTTAAACACAGCGAAATATTGATATTTTTCAATAGCAATAATTTATTCTTATTTTCGAACAGAATCTGGATGACATATCAGTTTTTGTGCATACGAGTATAATTTGACTATAGATACCCGTTCCGTTTTGAAAAAGTACTTATATATTTTGCATAAAGCTATAGTCTGAGTAAAATATTGAAATAGTTATTACTGACTGAAGGAGAATCAAATATTTTTTTAAAGATAAATAATGTTAAAGTTTGTATTTCGCAACCCGAAAAACTATTGTTGCCCAAACGCGAGACCGAGACGAGTCTTGGTCTTGCGCAAGAGTCTCGCAGTTACTTATTAGCTTATTTTATAGAAATATAACTGTAATTTTGTAGATAAAAGGAACCTAACTAAGGCCAAATAAAAAATTAGAGGAGTTAAAAGTATATTGGTTATCTAATTATTAACGTATAGTAACTAAGATTGTCAAGTATTAGTAACTATTTTGTCTTAGTTTTTATTTAAAAAATCGATTTTTTTTACCAGTCCTGGTCTTGGTCTTGCAACAGTTAGGCGACCTTGGTCTTGGCCTCGCAAAATGCAAGACCAAGACCGATTTCGGGCAACACTAGTTCTGAGTTAACGAGACGGGAATGTAAAAAAGTTCACACATCTTTGATATTTATGGAGATAATCGAGCTGATGAACTTTAATATAAGTAAACACAATCACAAATTAGGCTTTTTTTTACGAACTCAGAGTAACAATTAATTTAAATTAATGCAAAATCGCAAGAAATCTAAGTAACGGTAGTAAGTGTCATGCCAGTAACGTTCGGAATCGACCAAACAATATAATATAAATGAAGTTTTTGAATGAAACCTAAAATTTTATAACCTCATAAACATATTGTATTAACCTAACTCCCACTCCATATGATAAATGGCTTCCAAATTTCAAAGCCATTATATTTTTAACAATTATTTATATTGATTTTAATTATTAAATGAAATTAATATTAGGTAATTTCTATACTATTCTGCAAATTTCCTCCAAGTTTGAGTCAAATCGAATGAACCGTTTTCAAACTATAGGCCTGTCAAATAATACTTTTTTTGTTCTGAAAGCGGATTTTTTTTTTTTTGAAATAGCGGGTAGAATTTGATATAATTGATGAATTCTTGATTATCTGTTTACTAATTCCTAACTTCACTCCACATTGCAGCCAAAACTTTATTTTGTTTTTAATTAGCCAAATCGGTTTTTGATTTATAGACTTTTGCAAGACCAAGACCGATTTTGGGCAATACTACGAAATACTCTAAAATAAGAATTTTTGTAGAAAAGAGAAAATAATTTTTTTGTATTGACGGTTGTAACGTTTTTTTATTAAATACTAAATATTTTAATAATCATGTGATGACTGATGTTTTACACACACAAAAAAACACCAAAACAACCAACCAACGTTTAATTAGGAGAAAATTCTGAGGAGTTAGCAATGCTTTGGCTAACATGAACAAATTTTCCCACATAAAATCAAGTCCAACAATTTATATTTTTTATTCTAAAAGAAATTAATATTCAAGAGATTTAAAAGACAATGAAAACGAATCTGAATCGATTATTCATAACAAAAATTTATTTGTATAGGATTTCAATCGATTGTCTTGGGCCGACGAGAGATAAAAAAACAATTATTTGGCCTACTTTTGATTTTATTTCGTTTAATAATATGAATAATACGTTTTCTTATATTAAATGAAAAAAAAAATATTATAACCTATAAATCCATGCATAGAAAAGGCGGAAAATATAAAGAAATGTTAAAATTTTATTTTAGATTATTTTTTTCTCAGTTGCTAGGGGACATTGGTAAGAATTCTCGGTCATAGCCCAAACAAGTTTAGACCTTGTATTACCAAAAAAAGTTTAATTGAAATCGTTGGCTCCACCTCCATAACCTTCTCTTGTTAGATTAAATCAACATTAATTGTCTAATTCATTGCCGAATTTCAAATTAGATCCTGAGAAAATAAAATCTGCATATAATGTATATCGACAGCCACACTTCAGAAGCTTGTAACGCCAAAAAACGCTGCAAATTATTCCGCAATGGTTTATTATTTCCAAACAATTACCTTCCTAATTACGAAGAAAAAAATCTGGTGCGTGCAACACACAACTTTCACTTACCGATCTACTATGGATAGAAATTATTTCTGGCAATGCTGGAATATTATAAATTTTTTTGAAGTGCATTTTAAAAGGAGCTAAAGCTTAAAGCTTACAGATAGCAAGTCATTAAGACCATTAGAATTACTAAATGTCAATTTAATATATCGACGACAGGCAATAAAAATTTAGACACTCCATCTGCTTTTATAAACCACACAACTTTCTTTGCTTTTACAAACCTCAGAATGACTAACTCCAATTTCAACATTTTTGATTGATGTCATTTTAGCGATATTTTTAGTTGAAAAAGTTATCTATGCAAACAATGAGTAAGTTGATTCCGGAAGTGGTGATTGTAGTGTTGAAATATAGAACTCAGAATAAAGGTATAAATTTAGGTACTTATTTCTTATTAAAGATGTTCTTTATTAAATATCTTTAGAAAAAAGTTTTTTTTAGTCTCAACAATTAAAAAAATATATTTTAAATTTATCAATTTTCGCCTCTTCGGGGGGAAAATACTAGAGACCATATATTTCCTCCTAATTGTCCGATCCTAACGATTTTTTTTTGTTTTTTTAGAAAATTCCATAAACTTTTAAAAAACCATGCAATGATGTGCATACAATGATACACCGAGTTTAATCAAAATCGTTAGATTCGTTTTTGAGAAAATTGTGAAAATATGTTTCAGCGTTGATACAAAGTGGCACTTCCGGTTAGCCGATATTAAGGAAAAATTTGACGTCACATGCCATATACCTGGCATATAACTATCTTAAATACGTAATATCAGTTTCGTAAGACTTTTCATTTTTGAGCTAGACTGCTAACATACAAACACACAAACACACAGACACACAGACTATTTTTCGGGACTTGGTCATTTCGACTGAGGGTACCTCAAAACGTATATTCCCGTTGAAAACTCAGATTCAAAAATTTTCTCGATCGCAATATTTAACCATAATATATATTACATATATACGTAAATGAAAGTAATAAATAAAAGGTGATTCCAATTATTGGACTAAACTTTTTTTTTTTTAATCATTAGTAATATACTATAAAAAAATAGCATTATTTCAGAAACACATTCAAAATTTAAAAACCAAACAAAGGATATAACATTTGGAGTAGAACATATTTAAAAAAAACGGAGAACATATCTTTGCTCCTAATTGTCCGATTTTAATGATTTTTTTTTTTTTGGTTTTTAGGAAATTTCGTAAACTTTAAAATAACCATATCTACAAAAAAGTGTACACTTTTTGAGTTATTCGGAATTTAATTTTACCATCCCTCGTAACTTTTTTTCCAGCATCTTTTCGTTGAAGTATATTATATAGATAAATTTAACGGACGTAGAGAAAATGACTTTAGCGAAGTTTCATTGAAATCGGTACATTTGTTTAGGCGCTACAGTCTACAGCAACGCAGGTTTTTTGGCCGTCATTTTGAAAGTAAAAGGCGGATAATAATGTCGATGAAGGAGGATCATCTTCTGGTGACCTCTGATTTTATATTCAAATTTGAAAAAAATCAGTCCAGTAATTTTGGAGAAATTTTTTGTTCGATCAAATTGGTTCATTTGTGAAAATAATAAACCAAAATGTAGGTAGAATAAACTTAAAGTAAAATAAAATAGTTAGAATAATAACAGTAACAGAGAACTAAGAAATAAATAATATTGGCAATTAAGTAGGGACTAATGAAATAAACATAATCAAAATAAGGTAACATAAGAAATGAAAAATGAATTAACGAATATAGTGGAATGTATTAGATAAAAACGTAAGTGCAAACAAAAAATAAATGGGGTGGTATATTTGCTAAAATATGATTTAACAGTATGCTAAAAGGAAGTGAGATGACCATAGAATAAAATATAAAACAGAGAAAAGGAATATGAAGTTATATAAGGAAATAATACTCATAGATGTAAATAGAAAATTGAGATACTGTAAATTCTATCAAAACATACTGACTACGAATAAAAGAATAAAAAGTTAAAATAAGATGAGCAAATGTATCAATATACACAAATATTTGATTGATTAATCACTTGAAGACGGAGGGAATCATGATATTTGACCATGATATTTACCATTTTGAAATTAAAAGGCGGATAATAATGTCGATGAAGGAAGTTCATCTTCGGGTGACCTCTGATTTTATATCCAAATTTGAAAATAATCGGTCCAGTAGTTTCGGAGAAAATGCGCGGACGGCGGACAGACAAAAAAAGTTTTATTCGTTTTTCGAATTCTACTCATCCTCAAACGTGAAACCTCAAATTTTGAGAGGGGGTTAAGTTTTTGAATTTTTTTGGTCGATCACATTGGTTGATTATTGAAAATTTTAAACCAAAATTCCAGAGGAAAAAACTGTAATTTTTACTTTCACTTACGTATATATGTAATGTATAGTAAGGGTAAGTACTGCGATCGAGAACATTTTTGAATCTGAATTTTCAACGGAAATACACGTTTTGAGGTACCCTGAGTCGAAATGACCAAGTAC